AAAAAAAAAAATTACGATACCCACTACTTTCCCTAGAATTTTTCGTTTAAGTGACTAGACAATTCTGCTTCCACATGTATGAGCAAACACTCCATTTCAAAGCATCCTTTTTGATTATCTAACCTGCTCACTGCCGATCATTTCGATAACCTTCCAAAATGCCCAATTGTGAATATAGTTAAAGTTGGTGTGCAGGAAATGTAGTAGTTGCTGGTATCTACTTTAACCCTTTCTTGCCTTACTTTGTTCCTTAAGAGAATAATAATGAATAAGATAATCAAAATTCGGTTTTCATAAATGAAGAGTCTAAATGCATGACTAGTCAAGGAAGAATTATGCTCCTATATAACAGACCATTAATTGAAATCAATTCTTCAAAGAACATAATTAACAAAGAAATGTCTTTTTAGAGATAAGGAGGAAACCCCCCACTATTGGACAAGAAGCTTCTTACCTTAGAAAGAAAAAATAAAGGTTCATCTCTGTACCCTAGCCTTGTATAGACAAATACAGGCAAGGCATAATCATGAGATGTCATGGTGGAGATTCTCATGGATTCACGTACCCGAAATTGGGAGAAGCGCAAAATGTTTTCACTGTCTCCAAGGGATTTCCAGACACCAATAGAAGGATATAAAGCAGCACTGCTGTTCCAGAGCCAAGAGAGCTCATTGTTCCTCAAGACTTCCTCTTCCGGGCATGACCCAGTATAGTTTGGGGCATAAACGTTATAATTGTGACAATCAGGATATAAATAATAACCCCAAAGACCTTTGGGTCGACTCTTAATTCCCAATTTGATGGTTTCCTTCATGAAAGCTTTTGCGCTTTCTTCAAAGGTCACTTTAGCTAAATATTCAATATCCATAGTTGATACATTCTTTCCCATATCGGTAATAAGCTTTCTTGACTTCTTTCTGTAGACGTCTTTTGCGTTCCAGTTCCGGGCCCACTGTGGTCGCCAATATTCCCAATCTATAACAGCAAGTCCACTGAAATCTTCAGCAGGGATGTAATAATTAATATCTTGGTCAGCTTTTTCCAGATGTACTTTTAAACTTATGTTCTGTGGGAGACCTCCATTAATGGGGACCCCTTGTGATGTATACCACGGATAGTATCCCAATCTGTTGACATAAAATATAGTGACATTTTGCCCCCTGGCCTTGGCCAGTGGGCTTCCAATCACTGGAAACATTTTCAAATTTAGTCTTAAATTATATTTTATCAAACACTGATCTGTTGGAGCATTCCAAGCAGCTATAAAAGGTTTTCTTTGATAAATTGGAAGTCGAGCAGGTTTTAGACAAGAGATAGACTTTAGAATAAAAAATATAAGGAGCCATGAAGTGAGATGTACTGGTTGAACAACACAAAGCCTTAACTGTCCTTCAGATAACACTTTCATGGTAAGATAAAAATCTTATGTTATCTTCTACTTTAGTGTACTCTAGAAGACCTGTGGAGAGATTTAATTTTCTGTTAGGTATAGTTTTGAGGAACAAGACTCAAATAATAAATAGATATTATTATTATATATGTCTGTTTTTAAAGCATATCACTTAGAGGTCTCAAAGAGGTCTATAAATAAATGGAGATATAGAAGCAGATGTAGAGACCTAGCTTCTATTCAGGGGCAAGAAATGCAATTCAACAGACATTCATGGAGCACCAGACCCTATGTCCAGAAAATAAAATGAATAAGATGTGGTCCTTGCCTTTAAGGAGTTCATGATCGGATAAAGATGTGAAATAATATTCACTATCATTTTGGAAAACTCATCAAATCCCAGGCATTGTGCTTAAGTGCTTTGTAAATATTTTAAAAACTTGTAATAACTATGTAAGGCTTATAATTACATTTCCATTTTACAAATGGGAAACTGAGGCTTAGAGAGATGAAAAGGCTTGTCTGATGTTGCATTATATGGAAGGCAAGGTAATGTAAAATTTAAATAATAAAAATGAATAATAAGTACTACATGATAATTTATTGGAGCGATTACTTCTGGGAGTAAGCGTAGATAGGAATGGAGAGGAAAGTGATTGAGTGGCAAGAAATTAAAACCAGCCCAACTGTCCTAAAAAATAGATGTTTTGGGTTTCTTTTGAATAAACTTAGAAATTGACCCTCCCAGGGTAAAACTTAAGAAAGTTACATTTGTCTTATCAGGGTTCCTTTCTTGGTAAACCAACCATCAAGCCTCCCAGAAAGCTTCAAGGAATTGAAACTTACCAGATTATCACATCTAAACAATGAGACACCAGACACCTCACTGACCTAACTGATCACTTGCCTGTTGACCAACTCCCCTTTCTTACCCCTCCTTAATTCCTGTTTTCCCACACATAGTTACTTTCCTTCCCAACTTTGTAGACCCCAAATTTTAGTAGCTTGAGGAGATGAATTCAAGACTGATCCTTTATTCTGCTTGGCCGCAGCACCCAAATAAGGCCTTCTTTCCCAGCAATACTCCTTGACTCAGTGATTGGCTTTCTGTACAGCAAGCAACAGGACCTAGACCAAACCCCTGGTGTAACAGAACATCTCAGGGAAGACACTGGAGTTGAAAGAGAAGATAGGGCCAGGCAGGGTGGCTGACACCTATAATCCCAGCACTTTGGGAGGCTGAGGTGGGTGGATCACAAGGTCAAGAGATCAAGACCATCCTGACTAACATGATGAAACTCCATCTCTACTAAAAATACAAAAATTAGCTTGGCGTGGTGGCACGTTCCTGTAGTCCCAGCTACTCAGGAGGCTGAGGCAGGAGAATTGCTTCAACCTGGGAGGTGGAGGTTGCAGTGAACCGAGATCACACCACTGCCCTCCAGCCTGGCAACAGAGAGAGACTCAATCTAATAAAAAAAAAGAGAGAGAGAGAGAAAGAGAAAGATAGGTAGGTGTTTGGACAGTATGAGAGGGAAGACGATAGTGGCTACTTTGTCAAGTTATTTTTTAGTCATCTCTTTGTAAAACTACTACAAAATTATTTTTGTAAAAGCTCATCAAAGGGTTTGATGGCATAAAACATTTGCAGTCTTGTGTGTCATTAAAAGGAAAGTGCATTGTGGTTATGCCTGATGCCTAGTGAGATTAAGGTGTCCAGTAGACATTTGTCCTTTGGCTGTGTGCTCAGGATACAGACCCCTTTCCTCAGTAGTTAATTCTGTACCATAAATACCTTGGAAGGCAAAGTCCATATTCCATTAAATAAGCCAAAATGTCCCAGCGTTCCTTGTAGATTTGGTATTCGTCTATGACTGTGGTCAGCCCAATTAGATGCATCCTAATCTAGGCTTTGAATTGGGATATTGAGATTCAAGGAGGCTGAGGTGACATTGCCAGTGGTGACATAAATTCCAGTGTCAAGGAGCAGCAAGCTGGGGCATCCAGAACCTGAACCTGATGCCCATAATGTTACTGTTAAGTGGAGACATTGTCCTCATGAGACATCATCTTTCTGCTCAAGTAAGCAAGGTTTGTTTTGGTTGCTTACAACCAGGAATTCTGATTGATGGAGAAGTGATATGGTTTGGCTGTGTCTCCACCAAAATCTCATCTTCAATTGTAGCTCCCATAATCTCCCTGTCATAGGAGGGAGGTGGTGGGAGGTAATTGAATCATGGGGGCAGATTTCCCTTGCTGTTCTTGTGATAATGAATAAGTCTCACGAGATCTGATGGTTTTATAAAGGGTCGTTCCCCTGCGCGTGCTCTCTTGCCTGCCTCCATGTAAGACGTGACTTTGCTCCTCCTTCGCTTACTGCCATGATTGTGAGGGATCCCCAACCATGTGGAACTGTGAGTCCATTAACTCTCTTTTTCTTTATAAATTACCGAGTCTCGGGTATGTTTTCATTAGCAGTGTGAGAATGGACCAATACAAGGCGCTTCTGTGCTTGGTAGTGAAGCCTGTGCTACATGTTGTGTGTAATTATCATGTTTAACCACCAGGTGTCACCAGCCAAACTTTATAGTATTTCTCAGGCCTCAGACACTGCCGTAAAAAAATTTTTAAGTAATTCACAAAACTTCCTCCAAAGACATTTAAGAAGTCCTAAGTAAATGGATAAACACAAAACACCAGTTTTTAAGAGCTATAGAGGTAGATATTTTCATTTTTTGAATAAATATACTCCTCCATGCACAAAGCTGAATAAAATTACCCCACTTAGTAGCATGAAATATATCCTACTGCAGCTCTAAATTATGATTTGAAGAGAATAATATTTTCAAGGGAATCTAATTTTATGAGTAAGAAAAACTGTGGTACTCAAAACTTCTCCTTTTCTTTGTTTTTTTATTATATTTTGCCTCCAGGTAAGAAAAATAGATTTGCATATGCATTCATTAATAGAAGGGGGAAGAAGCTTTCCTTTAAAATTAAAATTCAGTTCTATTAGAAAGGACTATATTTGTGTACCAAAAAAAGAAAAAATCTACTCTGCCAGACACTTCCTGCTTTGGTCTCATTCAGAACATAGTTTTCCACTGACTATTGTTTCCCCTTCGGTCAGCTCCCTCATCACCACCATAGAACATCCTGGTTCATTTATTACAAAGTTACCAAGTGATTCTCTTCTCCTATCCTGGAATGTTATTATTCTCTTTGTTCTGGTGAACTGGAGGTGCACCTTACATGGCAGATGGCAGACATAGCTCCTGATAAAATGTGTGGGTGCACGACCAAAGAAGGAAAATAAATAAGTAAAATCCTGTGCCCGTGTCTTCTGCTTGCTGTATGTCAGGTTTCTGCTTCCTTTGCAGCCAGGTCAGGGCACCAGTGTGCCCTCCTCGTTAAATATGGTTTGTTGGGAGGAGATCCCCTCACGTGACCCCTCTCAGACACTGTTTTCCCTTCCCTGTCCCACCATGCAATCTCTGTTTCTGCTGTCCTTCCTTCACCAAGGAAACTCCCCAAACCTGCCCTTCCAAAAGCGCCCTTTGCTTCAGAGCTTCTCTAGACCTTATTCCCTCACCCCACCTATGCCATTAAAATCCCCACCGCTGAGCTCTGCCTTATCTTGACTGGTTCGTGTGGCATAGCAACCGTGTAATTATCCACAGTTAACCGTGTGTGTGTCACCAGCGATAGCAACCTTCCTTTTCTTTCTCCCTTCCCCCTCCATAACCTAGGAAAATGTGCTCCTGTAAACAAACCTCTAAATGACAGAATGTTTAGAAAGAGTTAGCAAGATATTGGAGGTAGAGGTGAATGAGGAATTTAACCTGGACTTGGCCCTTAAATTGTATCGCCCGGTTTTCTCTTCTTAGAAGTAAGGTCTGTTCTGGGAACATATATGAAGGACTAGTTCCCTTCCTTCAACAAGGAAACTTCTGTGAAGATATTTTAAAGGCCCCTGGACAAATGATTTTCAATGAAATGACATGCTCATTAAAGCCATAGGTAAAGGGAAGTAGCTTTCTCCTGACTCCTCCTCTGGTGAAAGAAACTGAGGAAGGTTAAGCTGCTACTAGGTTGACCTTGGCTTCATAGTTCTAATCTTCTTGCCCTGACCAGAGACAAACGTGGCAAAAGCAGCAAACAGACAGGGCCTATTTCAAGTCGGCTCAAGGACCTCACCTCATCACTGCCCCTTCCTCCTGACAGTGAAGGAGACAGTGAAGAAGGTGGCAGGAGGGGTGTGCTTGTGGGGAGACAGGACCACCATGTACAGCTACATGAGTCTGCAAAAAAGCCTCTATCCCCTGTCCCCTGCTTCTTCCTATCTCCCTTCTCACTTCTTCCCCAGAGAAGCTTGTGATAGCTTACTTGCTTGTGATAAATTAAAAGAAAAAAAAAAAAGAACAACCCCTGACATTCGGAAACTGTGAGTACTACACTCACAGCTAGGCTGCATAATGCTTCTCTTAAACACTGCCACAGAATACCAGTCTGGACACGTTTACTCTCAGACCACAATCAAATGAGACAAAGCCAGGCCACTTTTAAATTTTGTCTAAGATCAGAAAAGAAGGTCACTGTGCAACCCACAAAATACCAAACATCCCTCTCTCTCGCTGAATGAATGACTGCTATTCTTTACCCAGTCACAGGAACGCCTCTGCTTTCTGACAACATCTAATCTACAGAAAATCCCTGCCTTCTTAGACTCTCCCCCAAATCACCCAACCAAAACCTAAATAGTATGATAGTTTCCTCCTAATACCCTCTTACTGAGACACCCCATGGTTTCCCATGGTGTGCACCCTTCCTTCCCACAATAAGTAAGAAAGTCAACTGATTTAACTGCAGGTGTGCTCCTGGTGGTCTTCGGAGCACTGACACTGTATGAAGGCAGAGGCACTTAGGGTTTATTCTTATAAGAATTCAGAAAATTTTTATTGAGCATTTCTATGTACCAGGCTTCTGTCTAAGTACCAATAATACAATAGTGAGCAAAACAAACAAACAGCCCCTGCCCTCACTGAGTTTAAATTCTTGTAGGGGAGGGAGATAATAAATAAGAAGAGGAAATAAAATATTCAGTGTGTTGCATAGTGATGATAACAAAGAAAAATAAATAAGGCAGGGATTTGTTTCTAGATGGTAACAAGCCTCACTGATCCCACGGATAAGAGGAGTCAGCCTGGAGGATGTTGGGGGAAGTATGAGGGAAAGCAGGTGCAAAGGCCCTGTGGCAGAGCATGCCTGCTGTCTCCAAAGACCTTTGAAGAGGTCAGCAACTAGATAAAAGGAACCAGAGAGGAAAGAGTGAGGGTCTTGTGGGGGCATATAGGTACTCAGGCTTTTACTCTAAATGAGATGGGAAAGACGTGGTAGGCTTTGAAAGAAGAATGACATTATCTGCCTTGGGCTTAACTGGATTCCTCTGGCTGCTGTGTTGAGGCAAGCCTGAAAGGGAAAAGACACAAGAGAGAAGCAGGAAGAGTGTAAGAAGCTCTTGCAATAATCTAAGACAGAAATGAGAGCAGTTCAAACCAGTTATTTATGAGACCATAATATTTTAAACAATCACCACAAAGGAAAAGGATATTATAAATCAATAAATTAATTGCACTAATTTGTTTTCATTTTGATTGCAACTCTAAGTGCTTGTTCTCAAACACCCAGGGAAATGTTTTTTAACTTCACACAGCGTGATGATCCATACTGATCTTTACGATCAGAGTGAATGCTCTGGAAAAGTTTTTCAAAGCATATACTCTTTCCTAAATATTCATGTATTAGTGAAACAAATTGATTTTCCAAATCTACAAGTCTTCTATGTCTTTTTTCATGATATTGGGGTTCTGTTTTAAAAACCTTTAAGATACCAAGTGTCTGCTCCTAAAACCATGAGAGTTTGAAGAGATATCCTGAAGGTCACTGTCCCTAAGGAATTTAATAAATGCACTGTTTTATTTCCAAGCCCTTAAGGAAAGTACCGACCAAAGTGATATTTTGTTGCCAATGATGAAAAATATATATACTCATATACATTTATCGGCCTGAGAGACAGAGCAGAACTATCAAGTTCAAAGCTATGTGCTCAATTTTGCAGAACTAATTGCTAACCTATTTTCTAATAAAAGCTTATTGGAGCAACAGCCAATAATAGGCTTCTATTTTTTTCTCTGATGAACTTTTTCTCTTTTGAAACA